CAGGGAGACATCGGCTTGCTCACCATCCAAGACCGTGCCAGTTGTTTCTGGCCGTTCACGAGTCAAAACCTTTGAGGCAGCATCTCGAGCAGCTGGCAATGGCCATTTGCCCAAAGTAGGGTCGGACAAACTAACAGTCCTTCATGCAGTGCTGCCGCATGATATCAGGTATGTGTTGATTCCTGGTGGTTTGCGCGGGGGCCGCGCTCATTTGAGAAGGGTAGGGGGGTCTGGTGAATAAAACCGAAGCGCTTGCCCATCGTCCATCCTCGCCTTTGGCGCATCGCTTTGGGAGTACCTGATCGGCCGGGACCCAAATCAATGAAGGCCAACTTCGCCAAGGCAGTCGGTCACCCCAGTGCTCTGAAAAATATATATCGATCATTCGCAAAAGGGGGCCATGGCGCAATGGTAGCGCGCTCATGTTTCTCGAAACCATGGAAGGTTGCAGACTCAAATCCTGTTGGTCCTATTTTTCCTTAAGTGATCTTATGCCTGATCTGATTTTACCTTGTATTCAATGTGTTGCAGTGTTTTTTGCTATTTAAGATGTTGCTGTAGCATTCGTATGCTTTGGCGGCTTCTTTGATTCCAAGGGCCGCAACTGATCCAGCAGCTGGCGAAGCTCTTCTAGCCTTTTGATTCATTGAGCCTCTTGCGTTCTTCTGCCTGTTGCTGCGGTAGGGGCCCGGGAGAGGTCCTTGCCGTTTGCAACTCTCTGACACTCTTCCTCACAAAAGAGGAGCTGGATTGGAAAGCTGAAATCTCAACGGTTTGGTCACCTCTCCCGCAAAGTAGCTGAGCAAATGTCCATGCCATGAAAGATGGCAATCTCCCTCCGCAAGAGACCTAGCCGTGGCTGCAACGTGCGAAGTAATTTGTGAATACACCCTTCACTACTCGCATGCATGAACATGCATGCTCGTGGAAAAATGAAGCTGGTCTTTCGAGCCTGGGTATCTGTTTCTCCTCAGTTGACCGCACAAATGGTTCTCGAAGGATTTTTCCCTCTGTGACTCCATCCATCGATTCTCCCTGAAGGCCGGGAGCAATGGACCGGACCGTCGGAAGCCAAAGTTTTCTCAGAAAATCGGACCTAGGCCGCATCCTGCTGCGTTGCGCGAACATGAGGCCTTCGTAACAGACAAGGGATGGCAAGGTCGCGCATTTTGAGATGATGACCCCCCAAATCTACCCGGTGGCTTCTGAGAAACATAGCGTGGCCATTCTAAAGCCTCGGCCCCTTCCGCCCCCCCAGCGGCGCCTAAACCATCTTCCACGGCATTCACCTGAAGCCCCCAAACCGGAAGCAGTGCACCCCGAGTCAGATCCGGTGGCAAGTTGGATTCAAAATTCTCGGAAACCAAGTTTTGGCAAAGAAGCCCCTGTAAAGGGGCTGCCAAAAGCGGCACAAGTGCCAAAGCCGCAGACCTGCGGATGTCAACCTTAGGTCGTCTGCAAGGTTCTGAGAGGTCATGAAATCACTCGCGGCACTTCCTGAAAAAGTTTCAATCACTGCTTCACTTTTCTCTGGCGGCTGTACATGATTGACTAGCCGGGACATGTGCATCATGTAAACCCAGCCTGTGAAGCGTGCATGGCTTGAAGCCTGGTGTGTACTATAGAATATGATATTCCTGGTGTATTATAGAATATGAAAGAATATGCATATTTGACGTATCCTATCGTAAACGACACACACACACACCATGTGGCAAAGCTCCTGCCCAGACCCTCTTTTAGAATGGCAGTGGAATCATGGAACTCTCACAAATCCTCACCCTACGCACCCAGCCTCATGTTCCCAAAACAGGCTTTCAACAAGTGGAAAGGGTCAGGGTAAAGACAAGGTTGGAGTTGGATCCCATTGTAAAGCTTTGGGTCTGTGTGCCCTGTTTTGGGCCGGAAAACAAAAACACAGCAACGCCTTCTTTAGGGCCCTAATCCCTATTTATGGGTGTACGCACTTCGTGTTTTATCCTTTTGGCTCCCTTTAAACAGCAATCCACGACTCGCGCAGAAACGCATCCCCGGCCTTCGGGGTCGTCTCCAAGGGATCCAGCTTTGAGCGAGAGCTTCTCCTGGGAAAACGCTTCATTGGAGTCTCCTTGTAGAAGGCCTGAAGGGAGTCAACCCTCAGCTAGGAGATTGAGATTCTAAGGGTTGATTCCTTATCCATTCTTTTCAACCATCGTTCTTTTCAAAGAAGGATGCCTGGAAAGAATGGGGAAGGTAGCCCTAGAGAGATGCGCATACACCGTCTGCGCCATATTCTTGTCCCTTGGTTTTGAGTTGGGCGACACATGGCTCACAATTCCAACCCGAAAGGGGATTCTGCAATCTAGTTGGCAAAGGGAACCCAAAGGGAAGACCATGCCCAGGTTCAGTATAAGGCCCTGAAAAGAGGTGCTTCAGAAAACACGTCTCCGCCTAGACTGCGATGGATGAACTATCTTGTCGGTAGATGGTGCATGTGCATCTCTGTATCCCAGCTATTCATTCCCTTCCTTGTAGTCTGGACAAACTGACTGGCAGCAAACAATTTCTGCTGTTCTCTGAGCTAATGCAAAGGGTTCTAAGGAGATCATTCAGCCCCCCTCTCATTGGGGTTTTGGATTGGTGGTTTTGATCTTACGAAGGGCTTCCCGTCCACCCTCCACAAAAACCAGGGGGGCAAATCCCCAAACCAACCCCAAACCACTAATTAAGGAGTACAAGCAATGCATAACAAAAGCCCAGCTTTCTTGCCAAATCACAGAGGTATCAGTTTCTTTGCAATGCGTTGGAAAGCCAACAGCAACTCGTGGTCAAACATCTATTTAGCCTTGATGGTTTGCAACTTGGCTTTCGATTGTGATGTGTGTTGTACAGCCTGATGGCTTTTGACACATCGATCCGGCCGTTGGTGTTGAGACTGCTTAATAAATATTGTTGGTTGCTCCAATGAACGTGCTGTGGAGAGCGGCATCAAAGGGATGCATTGACTGCTCGGATGCTTCATCTGCAACCCGCCAAAAAGTAGGCTAAGAAAAAGAATCTGAATCAAACTTTGGTCCAAGCCAAAAATACCATTCAGGTTTTATGTCTGGGATACTTTCTCGGCAGTCCTTGAAATCGGCAAAGGCATCGACTGATCGTGGAAGCTCGATCCTGCCTTGGCAAGCGCCGGTTGGCTCACCGGCCACAGGCTCAAGGCGAAATGAGCTTTTGTGATAGGCCTCCACCCCCAACCCCGAACAAAAACAGGTTCATGTTCCTTTTGGTTTCCCTTTAAGCAACCTTCAGAAAGTTACCCTCAAGAAATTCCACAAACCCGAATGCCCTTCACACGTCTGCAACTAAATTGCAAATCCAGTACCTTGCCTCATGCAAGACAATCAATGTGATGGGCCAGCATGGGCGGGCATGGGCGGGCATGTCAACCCCACGCACACCCTGCTTCTGTTCAAGCCTACGTCAAGCAATCTTGAGAGGCATGCCGTGCTCACGAACAGGTCACGCAAACCATCCAACTTGCTGGCTCTCAGTGGGGAATTGTTAAGCCCAAAGAGTCTGCGTGTCTCTCCAGGCTTCAACCCTCAACTGCAAGTGCAACCTAAGCCCCCAACCTTCATATTGTATTACCTGTAATTAGTCCTCGCGCAAAAATGCATGACTTGTTCTTTGCTTAATATAGTCAATATTGAAATGAGCCCGAAGAAACACCCAGCACCCCGCACCCTCTGCAAGGCTAAGCTGTCCGGCTGATCTCGCTCGATGCCGCAGATCTGTTCGACACCAGCGACAAGCATGCATGACTTAACGATGTGTGGCTGTGGGGCAAAAATGTGTACCCAAAATGGAACCCTGGTAGATGGAACCCATGACTAAAACAGGCGGTCCCCTGGTGGTATAATTTTGACCCATACCCATGTGTGTCTGCAAACCAAAGAGCCACATACGGATTCTCTCAAGCGCGACCAAAAGGTGCCCGTGACGCACATCACATGATGGATTGTAGCGTGTCAAGTTGCGTGCGTTCCCGGTATCCAACCAGCCAGACTCCCAGGCTGTCCAACACTTGCTCGTCCGGGCCAGCGCAAACAGCTTCACAAGGTGGACAGGAGCTCAAACATGAAGAGTTTTGCAGGTGGGCGACAATAGCATCAGCAAACCGACCAGGGCAACGTGGCTGCCTGAATATGTGCGGACCGCCAAAATGAAGCATCCCCTCACAAGTGGGGCCCCCTCATGAATCAACCAAAGGCGTATTAATCCTGGGTGACTATTGACTGCTGGATGAGTCAGCATCGAACAATGCTGCCCTCACCTGTCTTGTAGACGTGTGGTGCTAATAGGGCCACCCAGCAAAGGGAAGCTTTGACAGGAACCCCGAGTTTGGGAAAGCAATTCCAAAACGGTGTCTCAGCCACCCTGCCAGCATGCCACTCGCTGCGTACCGAATGTTTGAGGGGAGGGTCTTGTGGCTACTTCATCAGATTCAAGGACTGATGATGACGTCGTTGTTTGGAATTTGCAGTAGTGTTGAGGGCGAAGGATGCGGTAACACTCCGTGAGACTGCTGCAAAGTCGGCACAAAACCAAGAACCACATGACAGAGAAGGATCTCTGTAACCTGTTCCGTCGTGAATCCTTCCAAAGAAGTGCGCATGCTGTTACGTCACTAAATGTATTGATCGAGACACATTGGCATTTGGATTGGATGCTGATCTGTTCGCACCACATAGGCCTGTCCGTGTGATTACAAACACAGCAATACGACAGCATGCCTATGAACAGGTGTTACACCAACTGGTAGACGTTGTTGCGGGTATTTTGCTGCAGCGGTTGGCTTTGATTAGTCTTGGCAGAACGCTCCCAAGCGGTCCCAGCCAGTCCAAGACATCAACCAGCCACAGAAACATTTGCGGCAAACAACAAGTCTTCTGGAATGGCGAGTGCTACGCAAAACACGGCAAGCAGCGAGCAGACCTTTTTCAAAGCTTGGCATCCGGACTTCGGTCGCTCGCATGCAAATGCATGGCCGTGAGGGCAGGGCCGCGAGAAGATAGTTGCACCTTGCCTAAACATTCCAAGTCAACCAAACACAAGTCCTTTGAAGGCCTTGTGTTTGCCTCGTTTCTTGTGTACAAAGAAGGTCACGTCTTCCCTCGTCCCCTCAGACTCAAAAGGTCACCTCTGGCTACAAAAGCTGTCCAAGTGCGCCTGGCGATGCTGCGTATCGGGACCCGTGTGGAGATAACTCATCCATGGGAAAGCCCTGGGATGAAAACCGAAAAGGGGCACTGCGGCACTGCCTAGTCCATGTAGTTGAACCGCATCCTGTATATACTAGTTGGGATGCCCCGCCTACCTGGTGCCAGGTGGACTTTGTACATCCACGGAAAAAGTCTCCTGTTCTGCGATGAGCATTCAACAGCGCTGCCGTCCCATCTGACATGGGACCTTTAGCAGGAACCGAAGCTGGCGCTCAACTACCGGATCCAGAATCATTGATGTGTTTTGTTCGCGTTGGCAGGAGCTCTGAACGCCATTCACCACCTTAGTTTATGCAGGCAGTCTGTGTGTGCAACGCCAGGAGCACACAACAGGAAACCAACCGTTTCGGACGACAGGCTCTTGCCTTGAAGTTGAGTTTGAGTTGAAAGGACAACTCATGCTGTTGGACAAAATCCACTTGGCACCCATGAAGCGGTTTATCCCAATGGCACAGGTAAAGGTTTCAAGCCGCTGGCTTTTTCAAGCCGAGCAAAAGAGCAACGGCTGGAAGCACCGAGTGGAAGATCCCAAGCCACCGAGCATATGCCTGCTAGCCCAGGGGACTTGATGGACGAGGGGTTGGGAGGGGTTGGGGCGGGTTGAAAGGGGTGGGGGGGGGGGGTTTGGCGGGGTTGGGGGGGGGTGGGGGGGGGTTGTGGGGTTGTGGGGGGGTTGGGGGGGGGGGTTGGGGCGGGTTGGGGGGGTTGTCGGGGTGGGGTGTTGGGGGTGTTGGGGGTGTTGGGTGGCCAGACCTTAGGACGTGGATCGATCCGACGCCTTGACCTCGAGGAACTGACGCCGCTGTGCTTCAGCCTCCTAAGGCGCTGGCGCGGTCTTGATTCCTTTGTTGGCAAAAACAACGGTCAGTGAGGAGTTGTTAAAAGGGGTCCATTTTGAGGACTAGGCGTGTTCCTTTGAGTTTCCCTTTAACACCACCTAAAAGGGGCACCCTGAACAAAAAGCACACCATGTGTGGTATCACCTTTGAAAAGCACCAGGCGGCACAAGGGTCCAAAAAGGGGCCATCTTTTGGACAAAACTCGAGTTGTCTTTGACTTCAACCTGCAGTATATGTCAGTTTTACTAGTCCACTCGTAAGTTTGAAGATTTTAGTGCGGACAAGGAACGCAACACATCTCAAGCCAGTGCTTCAGCTTGAAACTCCGAACCACGAACGACTCCCCCTCCTTCGTGTCACCTCGGTAATGTGCCTCCAGCACGGAGCCCTGGAGCAGAAGCCAAGGGGACTGAATCCTTTCGTACCGCAAGGGTTCAAGATTCTAGGGGGCACTTCCCCATTTTCCAGGGATCCTTCTTTTCAGAAAACCATCAGAACCCCAGAGAAAACAGCTGTTTTTTGAAAAGAACCATGGTTGAAAAGAGTGGGGAATCAACCCCTGGAAAGATAGCTTTTCAACAGCCCATTGGGGTTGTGTGACTAGGTCACATGCCATCACACAGTTTGGTGGTTAAAAGGGAACCGTGCCCCAAACGTAAGCCAAGAACACCATATTTTTCAGCTTAAGAGACACAGCAAGAGTCCTCCTCCTCAAATTCTTTGGCAAAAAGTTCAAGTCCTAACAGCCTTTGGCAACATGCAGCAAAGTAAACTGTTGAGGAACACCGCCAATCTCAACCACCATCTGCGTTGGGTTGGATCTTAACTGCTGTTGGGTTAGTGAAAGTCTAACCCAAATATCAACCGTCTTCTTTTGCCTTCCCTTGACCATCCAAAGACAAAAGACAACGAACCCCACGGCTGGAGTTCTGCTGGTCCAAGTTGCCCAGGCACCTCCCCCCGCTTTTGCCCCTGGGACCGCCTCGAAACGGGACTGCATGCTGGCGATCAGGCCTCGGAACACCACTTTCTTGGCACGGGCTAAACCGGTTCTGTCGCAAATGCAGCATGGGAACAGCCTGCTTAAAGCCAAACGCAAAAAATGCCGTATATCTCTTTTCCGCAGGCAGATTCTGAAAGTAGACGGAAAACAAGCTTGCCACTTGCTGGAGGCTGGTTCTGCTACAGGACATTGCAGACCCTTCTCAAGAGCTAATACCTCCTACGCTGCTTCAAGGCTTGCCTCTAAGTCTCACGAGGCTTGGTGCGCAGGCCTCGCACCCTGAAGGCCCAAGCACTGCAGTAGGCAATACGACGGGCCATCGATAAGCGACCCGGCTGACGAGCCTATAGGGATCGGGTCTACTGCCCCGTTCCTCCGAGATCCCATGGCTTAAAGCGAAAAGTAAACGTTAGATACATTCTCGTTGATGCCAAAGCCGAACAGAAGAAACAGGCCGTCGCCGTTTGCGAATTTGCAACCAAAAACAAGGCGCCAAGGTGCGAAGGCGCCAAACACCCTATTACCCGGCAAAGCCGGTCGGCGGAAGTTGCAAAAATATAGAACATAGTTGGGAGCACGCATCTTCTCCCTTCCTTCTCTCTGCCTCTTTCTCTGCTATTTTCTTCCTGTTTCTTTCTCTTAACTTTCGCTTGCTTTCTTATTCTTTATCGGTATTTGTTTTCTGCTCGCTTCCTTCCTTCTTCCTTCTTCCTTCTTCTTTCTTCTTTCCTCTCGTGTTGCGCTGCACCTGCCACGAGATCAGGTTCTCACCTTGTGAAAATGCTGCGCCTGCGACAAAATTTTGCCGCCTTCTGAAAGAGCGGTGCCTGTCACGAAATCTGCACCTGACCTTGCGAGAGCGCTGTCTGCAACGAAATCTGCGCCTGACTTTGCGAAAGTGCTGCGCTTGTCACGAAATCTGCACCTGACCTTGTGAAAAGCAAGTACCAAGTTGCCGAAGCATTGCGCCTGTCACGCAAGCTGACGTCGCGAAAAGCGCGGGCATCCGTGCCAATGGGCTCCGAAACCTTTCCGAGACCATTCCGCACCCGCTCCGGGACTGTTTCGAGAGGCATCGCAAGCGCGGCAATTATTAGATTTCAGCCAGCAGGGGAAGTCAACTAAAACAGACGCCACACGCCTCCCATGTTTTCTCGCATGAGTTCATTCTTCATCTTAATTTTGAACTGCCCTTCAAGTAGTGTCCGTACCCGGAAGTTCCTTCTTAACTTTCTTTGATTCATCCAACATGCCCCATAGTCAACTAGAGACTGGAGTGCCCGTGAATAGAACATGCTTCAAACATCAGTGATACGGAACGCTGAACAGGTCCAATAAACGCGGTCCAGCTGCAATGGGAAATCATGTGTGTAGCACCCGAAAGGAATCCATTTGTTGGAACCCAGTCGATGGGTCACCCGGTATGCCGTCAGTTCTCCTCAAGGCTCGCTCCCAGAAGATTGGCTGCTTGAAACGCTGACGCAGATCGCCGGCAAATGCGGAAAGTAAAGGGACCCCCCCCGTTGTTTTTGGGGTGCCCCAATTTTTAAGGGGTAAAGTCAAGGGACCCAGTTGGGAGCTCCCCCCCACCCCCCCCCCCCAGTTGGACGACACACCCCGCTCGGCTGAGCTGCCGGGCCGATGATCCGAGAGGCGCAGGCCTGCCAAAAGATCGTGGTCGCCCAGGCGAACTGCACCTGGCTGGGGCTGGGGGGGGGGTGTGGCGGGGGCTGGGGGGAGCTGGAGCTGGGTAGGGGGGGGGGGGGGGGGGGGGGGGGGGGGGGAAACTGGGAGACTGTCGTGTCAACCATGAAGCACAATGTGTTTTCGGGCGTTTTCTCACTGCGCATAGGGTTCTGCGAGCGCACTTTCGGAAGATTGACATTCGACACGGTGTGTCTGTTTGCATTTGCCAGCTTGTGCAACTGCTCATGGTGGGTCCACAAACAAAACTTGAGTTGCCTTTTCTTTGCAATTGTCATTGGCTAACAAACTTACTTGCTAGCTATTGAAGAAGCAGTGAAGTGGCCGGCCATCCAAGTGACGAATAAGCTAACTATGCAACAACAGGACTAGCTCGAGAGCTTACTAGCTATAACAAACTAGCCAGCTAACTAGCTATCTAACCAATCAAGCAGCTAGCTGGCTAACCCAACTAGCCAGTTAGCTGGGTGCTTACTCTTGAATTAGACTATCCAACTACGGCACGCGCTGCCATGCGCCGGCGGAAGCCGCAAACAGCATTGGGGCAGGACGAGGACCGTGATCCAAGCTAGTTCTAGCTTTTGCATCCTTGAATAAAACTTCCGCCGGCTCTGCCGGCATTTCTTTGGAGTGGGACTTGAATTACCTTTCTCCAGTCGTGGTCTTTCAGCTTTCTTGTTGATTCACCATTGGGCAGACGACTGTTGCTTGTGGAGCCACCTAAGGTTGGCAAACCTCGCAAATCATTAGACGGTAGCCTGTTGCTTGTGGGTTTGAAACGCGCAAGGGGGGGCCTAGTTTTGACACACAGCAAAATGAAGGATCCGCGATTTGATCAACTTACAAATACTGGAGTTCGCAATCGGCAACACAAACAACAAATGTTCCAGAAAACCCTACAAATCGCACAACCACCACCACCACCACCGCTACCACCGCCACCACCGCCAACACCAACAACACACCAAACGCACACCATGGCGGTGCTAGAGTCTTGAAACAATGTCTGTATGAGAAGGTGATTCGCAACATCTTCGCGTTCCAAATTGGCATGCGCGAGCTTGCCTGCATCAGCATGATTTTGCTGATGCTTTGTTAGCCTTCACCGAATTGCTGGGCTGCCCTCAGATCCCCCGCTAAAAGTTTAACTTTTAGTGGGTTAAATGGAAACTACGACGAAACACTAAAAGGCTAAAAAGCTAAGGGGATGGCCAATATCATTGCTAGGGCCATCTGTGGGCGCAAGGACAAAGATGGAAGAGCAACTAACACACTGACATAAACGGAATTGCATTTGTGTCACACAGTATGTGACAAGAATGCTTGTTCCGGCAGCTAAGAAATGAACGGTGGCATCAGGTGCTGGTACAATTGAACTGGGCGCAATATGGCTCACAACGTGGCACCAAAATAGCACCTTGGCACATGGAACCAAAGGCTAACTAACACCTGCGTAACCCTAGCTCTTTAATTTTAGCCATACCCATATGTTTAACATTTTGCCGGCCTCGTCCAGGGTCTCTGCTTGCAGGACAACCTGCCCGCTGCACGATGTCTTTGGCCGCACCGAGAGCCGCATGCCCTGCAGGACAAAGCCTCCGGGCGGGTGCCGGCAACGTGCTCCAACCACCATGTTGATTGTCCGTACCCCAAACTTGCTCTAGCTCCTCCGCTAGAGAGGTTAGACTAAAGGGTACACGATATCCTTTGGTCTATGGTCACACAAGCTTGGGCTCGAGAAAACAGGGTCCGCATATAGTTTGTTATCCTTGAACTGGGCTAAATCGAGGGCTTCCTTTGCGAGACCACTCGAACAAGCCTTGCGGGTACAGTAGAGTAATAGCATTAAATGACAAACGATTGAATCAGAAACTCAAACCTGGACGTTCTTTGACGGGACACATACACCCACAATCATCGACATACGCGGGAGATTCAGAAAGGCCGGCCTTTCTGGATCGGGCTGCGTGATTTTCTTACATGGCCGGCGGGGGCGTTACGCCCAACCCCGGAAATAGACAGTGGCGCCTGGTGGAAATGAGGCCTTTACATGAACATCTTGCAGACAAGCGTCTCTGAGTGCTACCATGCATGTCACAAGCTCCAGAGGTAGCTAAAGCCTAGCTCCAGAAATGATGGATTGCAAAGAGTAATATGCCGGCCGCAAGGTCTTCGGACCCTCGAATTCAAGTTGGGCCGGGAAAAACCTCGCAAGGCTTCACAGGAAACATTGGCCTCCCATGACAAGTGTTCGCCAAAATCTCGGGTTTGGGCACTTATCTTTCAAGATATACGCAAGTCACTGTCAAATGCGCTGGAGGTGATCTTGAGCAGCTTTGGGCAACATGCACCTTTCATCGCTACAAGGGGCCAATCAAAGTAAGAAATGGTGGACCCATGTTTGGGATTTGTTAGGAAACCAAAAGTTCAAAGGACACAACCCACTTTGGGGTTCTCCCATTTTAGGTGTTCCCTTTTTCAGGTTGGCAACCACGCATATTCTCACTGCGGGGTCTCCTATTTTGAGACATACTCATTTCCAGAAAGACCCGTCAGCTTGCTGAGGGCGTTCCGAGCGGCGAAAAGATGCCGTTCTGCTCGGCACCGTGATGCCCATCCTTGGCAGAGAGTGCCGCTTTCAGAAAGGAACACCAAAGGGAGCCCCCCCCCCCCAATTTTGAGGGTCCCTCCTTGGAGATCCAAATGTCCTTGTGAGCATATAACTCGTCCTCTTCTTTTGTACCTCCCTATATCCATGTGGATCCCATCTCCATCCTTTGCTCGACTGTAGGTGCACATATATATATATATATGGTACGCCCCCCCCCCCTTTTCCGGTGCCCAGGTGTTGCTTGAGTTCAGTCGTTTGTTTCAGGTCATTTTGCATTTGCTTGGCCAAGCTTGGGCACCAAGGAAGGGGGGTGTGCCACAATTCTACAATTAAGAATTCTGGACCCAAGACTGCTGGGAGACGTTCGATGTGACAATCTGGAATTCAAGATTCAATACTTCAAAACAATCTTTTCTGGAATTCTGGAATATTGAATCTTGCATCAAAAAAAAAGAGCCTGGGATTGATTCAAGATTTCAAAATATTTTTCTGGGAATCTTGAATCTTGAATATTGCATCCCATTAAAAAATATGGGATTTCAAGAATCAAGATTCAAGATTTCAAAATAATCTTTTTCTGGGAATCTTGAGTCTTGAATCTCATACTTAAAAAAGAAACAAATATTGGATTCAAGATTCAAGATAGTAAGATAGTCTTTTTCTGGGAATATTGAATCTTAAATCCTTTTTTTTTTTGATTTGAACAATTCCAGGTTTGTCCCAATACTCTTGGTGTTCAATAAGATTCTCGGAAAACACGTTCCGTGAAATATTTCACTCTCGAATCTTCAATCCAGTGGAAAGAACAACTTGATCATTTTCAGGGTTTGACCAGGATGGATGATTCTCAGGAAAGTTGTTGTTTGTGCAATCCTCGATATTGAATCCTCAGTCCAGTGGTAAAGCACTTTCAAGTGTGAGAAGAACTTGAATGTTGTTTGGGTTTGGCCAGGATTGACAATTCTCAGGAAAGTGTTCTGTGTAATCTTCAATATTGATTTTTCCATCCAGTGGTAAAATACTTTCAAGTGCTGAGCGATCCAGTGGAAACACTTTCAAGTTATTAGTTAGACAAACTTTCAAGTGCTTGTGGTGAGCGGTTTGCTTCATGTTAGCTATGAAGCATGTTGGGCCTTTTCCAGGAGGTAAACAAAGGTAGGTGTAATGCTCAAAAACACTGTTATTTACAGCATGTTATAAAGAGGCGCAGGATCATTAGGGGTACTATGTATGTATGTATGTATATATATATAGATATACACATGTATGTATGTTCACACACCGTCACCCCCCCTCTTGAACTACCTCTCCACATTTGCTCATCTACTACCTCCGCCTTTTGAGATAGAATGAACTTTGTTTTCCTGTGCAAATAGAACTTTAAATACAACTGATTCAGCTAGAATCCCTGTTTCGAAATAGTTTTAGACTTTAAACCTCTCTTCCCTTGAAATTTATTTTTGGAACACTGTCTAACACGTTTAATTTCGGATTTGTCTTATGCTGCAAAAGGGCCAGGATATAAATAACACGAGTCGTATTAAGAATTTCCCTGTAGACGTCCCTTAAATGTTTAGCCATGTTTAATAAGAACTAAATTTGAGAAGTAGTCTCTATTTAATTGTTATTGTGAAAAGCTAATTGAGTTGTGTTCGTACTAGATTATCTAACACTTGGATTATATTTGGGGATAAACTCCTAACTTCTTTTGTTGAAGATTAGTTGGAGTTTGCCCGAAACTATGCTTATACTCTCATGTAGCTCCTATTTGGAAAGGATTTGCTTATATAAGCTGTAGTTGAGCAATGTTGAACATAAACACATTTTTGGAAACTATGTCCTAACCAACTTATTTCAAGATTCCAATTCTAGTTGAAGTAAAATCCTATTTGGAAAGGGTATCATATTGGGACATTTCGGATCTTGCCATGATGGACTGCAAGCCCATTCGTCTGTGCTTAAAATCTATTGCAAAAAAACTAAACTCTACAGCCTGCGCGCTGAAATCAAGCAAAACCTAGGCACCAGTGGGGGGGAGGGGGTAGCATACATATATATATATATATACACATATCACTTCCTGAGTGGACTGGCCAAATGAAACACTTAAAAAAAGAGTCCGAACTTGTTATCTACCAAAAAAATGGGTCCGAAAGCCCAAAAAGCATCTCAAGTCCGAAACGGAACTCGGGGAGTGCCTCCGCCTTGTGCCTCACTGGGCCCGCGGCCACTTCTTACAGCGGGCCGGGGGCGTTGCGAACAACAGCTCCACCTGGCCGCAGGCCGAGTCTGCGGCAAGACTTCGATCCCCAGAAAATCCCCAAGACCCAAAACCAAAAAAAAAAAAAAACACACGCAAATGGCCATGGGCTTTTCAAAATCCGAAAAATCCCGGTTAGCCCCCAGTGAACGGGTCCGATTCAATCCAAGCACTAAAATAGGAAGCCTATGGGTGGTGAATTCACTCATCCCAACCAAAATGGGATCCCCTTTAACGGTCTAACGACCACCAGACAAATCAACCGCGGGTCCCAAGAACTTGGGCCAGTCGTAGATAGCAACGAACAGCGGCTGGTCGAGTGAAAAACCAAAAGCCAAATGCCAAACAGCAAAGGACATCTTTGAAAGGGCCAAGCAATGCCAACAAGCCAAACAATGAACCAAAAGACATGATAGAAAGGGCCAAGCTTGCGGGAAAAAAAAACAGTACTGCGCAAGCAAAGGAGGGGGCTGGCTGATAATTTGGGTGTTGGGGACAATTGGGGTGACTCCCAAACATCGGCGGACGTTTCAAACTGGGTGATGTGCAGTCAGCTTCCTTTCACACAAGACGCAAAAGCTTCCCCAAACCCCCCATTTGAAACAGCTGTCGGGTGAATCTATTCGAATTACAAGTCAGCTAGATTTGGACCCCTTTCAAATGGCCTTTGGCAGCCCTTTCCAGTGTGAATGCTCGTGTGCAGAGTTGTACCCTCCAAGTCAGCATCGCATCCACGGACAAAATTAGTTCTTTCTCCCAAATGTACATGACACCATTGGGTGGCCTCCCAGGTTGTGTGCGCGCGCGCGCGGCACTGGCCAAGACGCTAGACAACTGTTTTTCAGGTGCCTCCCTGATTGGCCCTTCGGGGGAAGCGAGTCCGAATCCCCGGCGTGTGGCCGAACAATACTTTGATTCAATGTAGGGAGCTTAGACAAACATTTACAATATTTCTCAACCATGCCTTCTGACATCTGAAGTTTGGTAAATCCGTGTCGCAACCTCAGGTGCAGACGTAAAGCCTTCAAAGGGCAGCAAGAGGCAGCTGCTCTCCTTGTCATGGACTCGCTTTATGGCCAAAAAAGATTCACTGTCCAGGTCGAGAAGATTGACATGATCAGTCATTTGAAGTTGCTTTGATCAGATCCCATACAACAAGCTCACTCACACCCGTAGTTTAGTCACCAAACGAGATGCTCCATGCCTTGCGAATCTGTATCACGGCTACGGTTGTTGAAACCTCAGGCGGGTCCCTCCGGGTTGCTCGGAAACAATGAGAGTCTCCGAAGCCTGCCTTGCCCTTGTGCAAGTTGTCCACCAGTGCCGCCAGCAACCTCAACGAGTCAGACGAGCAGCACGTAAAGCATGTGCTCCTTGTTTGCGAGTGGACTCTTGTGCATCTCTCATTCTCCGTGGTCCCACTGCCGGAAGAAATACAACACGGCAACTCATTGCCTCATGCTCAGGCTCAAACATGTGGACTCTTTCTCATCGCATACCAGTATCAGTGGCAGACCCTCACGCAGTGCCCACCACAGACCGCATCTGTTTGAGTTTGTGCGCTGTTTCCAGATGCCCCCCCCGCTTGTGTCTGCCTTCTTAATTGCTGATACTTGCTAATACCAGCAGTTGTTGCTTCAACATTGCCAAACACTTCGCTGGGCCCGCCCATCAACTAACACGAAAGAAGCACACGTTACGAAAACAAAGGGCGCCAGCTCACAGAGGTAGAACCACCACTCACGACGAATTACTACTACTACTACTACTACTACTACTACTACTACTACTACTACTACTACTACTACTACTACTACTACTACTACGGCGGCGGCGGCGGCGGCGGCGGTGGCGGCGGCGGCGGCAAGCTTCAAAAGGCAATAACTGACACTTGGCAATTGCCAGTAGCCCGTATCCCCCTTGCATCTTTTGCTCAAATCGGAAGTGTCCATTGCTCCTTCGCCTCTCTGAAGCCCAGTTTCTTCGGACATGTTCAGCAACATGGACACTACCAGCTACCAGTAAGTGCAGTCAAGGCAGCACCACGTCGACTGTAAGGAAGGTGATCTTGTAGCGCACCAGGTAAATAGCCTGCAGACTGGACCCGGATGCCTCGTCCCATTGAGGATGCACGTCGGTTTCAATCACTACAAGGATCCTTCAGGTGCTTTCATGACATGGCACCAATTGCTTTTGAGGCACCTCAGTCGGACATCTGACAAGTATGACTGCGGTCTCAAGTCTTATGATCATTGCCTGGCTGGGAGTCAAGAATAAATACCCAAGATGCAACCGAGGCAAACGGAAACAAGGACCAACACACGCAATATCCTGGTGGCTTAATTTTGCCCCTGGTGGTGTAATTTTGACCCATACCCATATGATCACAATTAAACATTCAGTCAGTCCCACTACTCAAAACTCTCCAGTTGAACTGCAGAGAGGCAACCAACATTTGCTCTACCACCAAGAAGATGCTGGGACAAAGATCCAGTCAAACGGATGCAACATCATGCAACAGTGATTTGTCGGGTTGATGAGCAAGAGTACTGTGATGAAGTGTGCATGCAGGTGAGCCACTGTCAAGCCTCTGCTCTGAAAGTTCAGTCACCACTTCTGCACCCTTCGGAAAGGACCCCTCCAATATCATCCTAATACAAGCTTGAAAGAGAGTCCGTAACGTGCCGCACATGCGGGGAGCAAAGCTCCTCCGCCTTCTGGTTCTCCCAACACTTGACTTCTTGGATCGATGCGGAAGCCGAGTACTCGAGGGTGTTTGCCACTTCTTTCAATCCTTGCCAAATGCATCCCCCACCAATCCAAACTATAAGGGGCGCCTGAATGGCAAGTGGCAGGAAAAACTTCCATTGTTGCGCAAATTGAGGCACAATCAAAACCTGGTATTGAATTGGTCTACCCAGTACCATGTAAAGCATTGAAAAGGCGGAATTCCTCGCCCATTTGTGGCTGGGACTGTCCCTTGCTACCCTCCTATTGCCCGGGTTTTGATTGTGACTCGATTTGTGTCGAGTTCGGAGCCTGATTGGTCCCCAGCTGTTTCAGCTTCTCCACCCTCCTTGGCAAAAGAATGGCCGGTGCGGCTTTGGGGATTCGCAGTTCGGCGAGTGGAGGGCAAAACCCACGTCCAGGGCGGGTACGAGGCCAGAGCTCTCCAAATCGAAATCAGATATGGGTTTGTCTTGTTTTGAGGGCTGGCTTAATGGGGAACCAAAAAAAAGAACTACCGTTTTGGAGGATCCCCTAAAAAGAGTCACACCCATACGGGGGCCATTTTTGTTGGGGGTACCCTTGGAGCACTTGATATTGACTGAACCCTGCTGTTGCTCTGAACTTCGGCTCTTTGGTGCGGTCACTGGCGGTGAGAAAAAGCACAGCTCCCATGACCTCCCCATTGGAACGCTTTTCTACATTGGTTCGAATCGCAAGGTGTGACCTTGCCCCAACAAGCACTCGAAAGCAAGGCTCCAAACCAGTCGGTGACAAACACCGAAGTCGATACCACTGACCAAGCGACTGGAACCCGTGAAGAGTCATTCACATCTGCAAAAGGTGAAATCCGACCGCTTTCTGCGTTTGCATTATCTTGGATTGGTGTGCTCACCCATTTGGGTGTTTCTCAAAACTGGGGACCCCTCCAAATAGGTTTCCTTTTGGCTTCCCTTAAAACCCATCCAAGAAGGGGTCCTTTATTTTGAGAAACTCCATTCGAATTCATCGCGTGTGAACCCGACGTGTGACTGAGCCAAAGGCAAATCACACCAACATATCCCTCCGAAGACAGCACCTAGAATGAACCACAAGATATCAGCCACATATTTACATCTTCTTTAAGTCACATGAAAGGCCGTGTATTGCATGAATCGACTGTGCCAGTTCCAAAACTCCCTCCAAACACTCAGCACTCATTTGCTTTCAAATACGTATCTTGGCGAACGTGATCATCTACATGGCAGTCTGCTCATTTGGCTGCTGTTACACGCCCTTGAGAACTAGGTATGAGGAAGCCCTTAGACGGGAGCTCTGCACACAACTGGATCCACTGGAGTGAACATGTCGAGGGGTTTCAACCATTTAAACAGTGATTTTGAGGATGTCACTTCCAGCTGGAACCAGCATAGCATTCTGGATCTCGGATGCACATCGAGCACCAAGCTGGTCTCCGACAGGGTTCATTTGCAGGCGGCTTCCAATGACACCATCGCCACTTTTGGAGATCCAAAAACGAACAACAAGGGGAACCTTGACTTGCTGGTGCTCAGTAATGTTGACATTAGGGAATGATTTTTAGGGTGTTGGGAATGAACCCAGGGGTCCCCTTAAGGGAAAATACAAGGGATGGCTCAAATCGGGGTCGTTCCATTCCCTGCCTATTGCCCCAGCCAGTTGAAGCAAGTCGCTGGCAGAAGGGAAACCACGAAGGCCAGTGCTCCAGGGCCAAGAAGATCGGAATGGCGCCGCCTGGCGAGTCGAACACCAAAATGAGTCACTTGCTCAAAACCGATCGGTATCAAAATGGTCTTCCCAGAACCATGCTTCAAGAATTAAGCCGGATATCCGCGGCTGTCCCTCACTAACCTTCATCTGTCCGGGTTTTGATTGTGGCTCAAATGGCGGCGTCTTGACTTTTCATTAATGTGCTGTGAGGGCGCATTTGTCCTTTCCTGTGCACTGTCTTCTCCTGTCCTATTCAGTGTTCTTCCTGTCCTGTCCTTTCTAGTTTTATTTTCCTTCTCCTGCCATGTTGTATCGCCTGGCACCTTCCTTGGATGGATAGTTCTCAAAATGGGGATCCCAAACCTGGCTGCGGTGAAATAGAACCGTTGGTACCATGTTTACCCAAAGTTTAAAAGTTATTCTCATGACTGCTGGTCAAAGTCGAAAATCCGCAATGTGCTGAGCGACAAGTATCAAATGAAGAGATTCCGCCGGTCCAAACATCCAGACTGAACGTGGACTGGAGCAGGAGAAACAAATAGTTGCCAACCATTCGGGGCTCGGGAATCTGCTTTGAGATGGATTTGAATGACACTGAATGATTGGTTTCCTTGGCGTGCAAGTGTTCACACCTACCCATTTCCGTGAAATAAGAGATGTTGCCCCAAATCCGGCCATGCACTCACACACACACACACACCCAGGCGTCTGTGCAACATGTCTCAGCCCTTGTCGCATTCAAGATCAGTACTGTTGATACAGGCATTGTTGCAGGGCCCTCCATACAAATGGGGTGTCCTCCCACGGAATGAGCATACATTGGTCGGCCATGCGGACCTCCTGCCATGGTTGAAGGGAACCGCACCCTTTTCTTGCTGTTTCATGTTCAAGGAAACCCCTTTCCAAAACGGAGGGCCATGAAGCCACCCAGACAGGCCGCGCGACGCCTTTCACGGTGTTGCCGGACATGAGGAACCAGGGGAAGTACTTCTCCTGAAAGATTGCAGGCTGATTTTGCTGCATGACGTGTGCCGAGTGGAGGGTCATGGCATATAGAGCCCGTGCCTTTCTTCTCTGGAAAGCCAAACAAACCAAGGCAATGGGACGGAAAACGAACACCCTCTTTGGCCGACCATGCTAACCCACTTTTACATCCAAAACAACAGCACAAACGGCACGAACGGCACCGGGATTTGGCATCTCCTGGTCACTGGAGTTGATGTTCAAATAGACCTGCGTAGTCATCTTGGGCACCTGAGCTTGGCACTTGGCAGCTCTTCCCACTGGGCCATCAGCGATTGGAATATCTAGGCCGTCTCTCGCTCTCTCTCTCTCTCTCTCTCTCCCTCTCTCTCTCTCACACTCTCTCTCTCTCTCTCTCTCCCTCCCTCCCTCCCTCCCTCCCTCTCTCTCTCGCTCTCTCTCTCTCTCTCTCTCTCCCTCTCTCTCTCTGTCTCACACTCTCTCTCTCTCTCTCTCCCTCCCTCCCTCCCTCTCTCTCTCTCTCTCTCTCTCTCTCTCCCTCCCTCCCTCCCCCTCCCTCCCTCCCTCCCTCCCTCCCTCCCTCCCTCCCTCCCTCCCTCTCCCTTTAGAACAACAAAACTTGGCCGACAAGCTTGTCATTGGTGGATGAGCTCAATGGCTCCCACAAAGCTCGGCAAGACGTGATTGCTGGGGCGCGCGGTCTGTACATAGGGGCCGCATACTGTTCACTTCGATCCCTGTTGGCTCAAGTTGAATTTGCAGCTTCTGGCAACTGAGGGCTCACCAATTGGGGCCATAGTGTGACCATAGCATCTCACAGCAAGTTGAGAGTACTCGTCTTTGCTCTCACAGTAGCTTGACATTGCTCAGCCTCTGAAGGAAGCCTACGCAACTGCTGTTCGTGGAGACTTCTGCCCGCCCTCAAATGAAACATGCCAAATTGAAGCTACAAGTCTTTGCGTTGGCCACATTCCTTCTCACCAAACACCAAACAGTCGGGGAAGCAACATATCAGTTTGGAAACCCTTGTGCTGAGTTGTACGAATTTATGCTGAAGTGGCCGTGACCCCTCTATTCCAGCCAACAAAGAAGAAAATGTTTGGACCGTGGCTCCCATACGCCATGGCAAGAGCTCCTATTTTCTCCTACGTTCAACGCTGCTTGCGACGACCCCCCGGCCATGTAGGCGTGAGCCGCAGCATGCTACACAAGCGTTGCATCATCGGCCTGGGCACCATGTTTTCTCAACACTGCGCGCAGATCTTGGTTGATGAGGCTGCTCTGAAAACGTCCCTGGCCGGCAAGAAGAGGCCATCAAAGTGTGATTCGCCAATAAGTGCAGGGAAGGTAGCAAGCGCCCATCAGCAATGCCTGGACCTTGGATGCGGTGAGATACTTCCTCAAACAGCCACTCAGCTAGGCATGGCGTGCCAGAAATGGACTGGTGGTACCTCATTTGCAATCACCGGGCCGACATCACGCATCGATTTCCCCACTGTGTTATGTTCGCTGCAAATGCAACTCACGCCGCCGGATCACATGGCCCCTCTGCTGCGCGATCGCGGATTTTAGGTCTTTTCCGAGATCACGACGCCGGCGCAGCTTGCTCGCTAGCTGGTTTTTGTCTATGGGCGTGGCGCGCGAAATGGCAGGTGTCACTCAGGTCGCTGAGCTACACATGGCCTGCCCTCGAACCCACGCAAGCTGCGCAGTCACCGTCCACTCGGCCCGGTGCAAGCATTCAGCCAACTGACCAGCCTGATCCAGATTTCGCGGCGTTCCAATTGACCCTCCCCTGAAGATCCGCCTCCTGGTACCCCTTGTCCCTGCCGACTTGAGCAAGCCATCTGCGCTACCTTAACTTTGGCAACCATGTGGCATGGCGCCCACCGCCAAACCCTCTGCCGTCGGCGCCTCACTGGGAGGGGTTTGGGCCACGTGGCTGGTCAAAACTGTGTGGGTCGGTCATGGCTCCCAAACTGAGAATCCTTGTGGTTGTATGTACATTCTCCTGAGCATCGGCATCCTTTTCGGGGAAATAGATGGCCCTGGTAGATGATTGCACCACCAGGTAAACCAGGGCCATCTAGTTTTCGACCAAAACAACGAAAATGATACCTATGCTCCTGAGGAGTCGCGATGCCTACCAGCCCCCGCCTTGAGCATCTTCATGAAGATCCGAGCGCCTGACACATCCCAACCCAACCCAACGCAACGGCCAAAAGGATACACAGAAAAGTACACACGGAAACACTCAGATCCCCAAGGGGCAGAGATGCAATGCGATTGATTGATTCCGCCCCCCTGTAGTTACTTCAAACCAAAAAAGCTGAAGCAAGCAACAGCGGTTGAGGGAGGGACCAAAAGGACATTGCACACGAACCAGAAGGACACCACCAGTTGCTGAGGCCCCCCACTTTCACCCATACCCGCTCCAACTGATTTCTTGTTCGGCCGAGGGCTTCACGCCCTCTGGAAGCGGATTTCGAGACGCGTGAGTAACCTGGCACAGAGGTCGATGCTTCGGTTGGGACCTTTTCTCTGGGGAAACGAATGTCACCTCCCCACGGAGGAAATCCTGCACCACTTGAAACCGTGCTTGAAACCATCGCTGGTACTTGCAGAACAAATCGAACCACAGGGTTTCTTAGGTGTGAAATGGTTACCCAAACCAACGTACAGAATCAAACGGCCGGCCGGAACTGTCCCTTGCTGACCTTGTCTTTCCCCCAGCCGGCCGCCCGTTTGCGCGCTGGCCTTTGGTGGAGATATTCTTCCACCCGTCGGCGCGCAAGCTGGTGGGATCCTCCGGCGGAGTCCTTCAATTGACACATCAACTCGCCACATCGCTGGAGGCTTGCACGATGCCTGTCGCCTATCTGTCACCTATCTCCCACCTGCCCCGGCTGGGTTCTCATTTAAGGAAAGTTGATGTTGCTTACAATGAGTCCACTCCAAAGCGGAAGCCCCACGTGAGCCAGATTGTCAACTCTGCAGGAAGATGTTCGCACCCACAGGCATGTAGCGAGGGATGGTGAGGCCATGCTTGATGTGATGTGGTGCCACACGGGAGTTTCACAACATGCTGGACCCCCTTTTGGTTGTTACAGTACACCAACTCATCACATGGAAGGATACGTGCCGAGTTGTCTTCTTTGCCAACATGGATGGATGCCATGGTGCCTGACAGCAATCGAGCGGACAAAACTGGCACGGGGCCTCCAGCTTCCATATCGCTGCTATGCTTGGCATGGTTGGCAAGCAAATCAAGGCGAGCCCCGGCAAAAGGGAACACCTCAATTCACCTTTCATCTCAGGCCCTTCAGGGTTTTACGCCATGGCAGGAGCGGGTTCTAGGCCAAAGTGACAGGGCCGCAAACCCGCATGGGGAGCACCAGGCACACAGGTGGCTGTCAAAGAGCGAAGCTCACAACGCCATGGGGTTTCTGGAGCACGAGGCACATGGGTTGAAAGTCACAGTCCCAAAAAAACCCATGCCGCTGACGGGGGGTTCATGTCAAATGCTGCCCAAACAGTTCTCCTTTTCAAGCTTTCGTGTACAACAATCCATCCAAACACGAGCAGCTCTAGCTGGAGGCCTCAATCTGAATCAATTCCGCAGACTTGATCCGAAACCAGGCATCCAAATATCCCCGCATCTGCTCCAAAAGGGTTGCAAGGCCACCCCTGAAGACCATGAGTCCTGGAATCCAGCTGTGTCGCTAAATTCTCCAAGAACTCGCCCAAGCCTTCAGCTGAGGCGTCCTGGCGAAACTTCCAGCGCGAGAAGGCCGAAAAACGGCCAGGCTAAAGAGCGAGACGAGCCCCTGCAAGTCGTGTTAGTGGATCCTAGAAGGGACATTTTAGTGGACCTTGTGAATTTAGGGACCCTGTGGAGATCGTTTAGGTGGGGATTTATGTCCAACCACTTTTCGGGGCACCCCAGAAGTTGAAAAGGCTGTGCTTGGACCACACTGAGAAAGGCTCTCATTTGTTAAGGGCGTGATAAACCAGACAGCCGCCATCAATCCCTCGTTGCCACAAGGGTGTGAATGTTGGTACGGGGCCCTGTGGTGGAGATCGGTTTGGTGGGGGATTCATGTCTACCCACCACTTTTGGTGTGGTCCCAAAAAGTCCGTAGCCACCACAGAGCAACAGCCTGACCCGTCGTGGTCTCACTTCTAGGATCCCAGGATTTGCCGATTCCCCCTTTCCTTGGTTGACGTTGAAGGGGAACCAAAGAAAATAAATGTTGGCAGTTTAGTGGATTTGGATTTCAACCACTAAGCCACAATAAGCAAAAATGGGGAAAAATGTGTCCCAACGCCAACCATGTTTCAACCACAATCTGAGGGTTTGGCACGCGTGGAAGTGTTGGAAGTGACTGCTTGCCCCTGGGCCAACACCACCCCGATGGTCAGGTTGCTCTTCTTCTCCTCACCGAGGGCTCATTCCAAGGATACCTCTAATCTGCTAAGAAGGTTTGACGGGATACCATCTGTACTCTGTACATCAGCTTCCGACACCATCTTTGTAAAGAAAGGCACCCCCAGCCAAAATCCTTTTTTTTGGGGTCCAAATCGCACTACATGTTTTTCCGATCTTGGTGGTGCCGGGTGGCAAAAAGAAACAGCTTTTAACACGAGATCTCTTCGCAGACCCGATTTTTTGTCTGAAGCTCAACTTGGTCGGCCTAGACCTCCATGGCCTCACCGTGGCAGTCTAATCCAACGTGGGAGACGTCAATCACAAAGGGTCAAAGGGTCTTGGAAGACTACTTTCCTTGTTGGGGATGCCCCTCCGCTTCCATGACTAGGTCCTCCAGTAGAGAGGTTAGAATTTTTGGGTACCAACTTTGTTTCTGTAGTCTATTTTAGTAGGGGAACAAAGGGTAAAAGAGCGCTACTGGTGCACCTAGTTGGGGACGCCCCTCCACATGATGGTTGGAAAGGTGAACCTCCAGCCAGGCCTCAGGGGGACTCCACTTCTGCGCAGGTTGGCCTGCAAGCGGGGATTAGGAAGGAGCAAAGACCCGGTCGCAAGGCAGTTAGGAGGTTTCATAATACCGCAGAAGATGGGTGAGACTTACCCAGCCAAGAAAAGCTCAGCTGCTCTGTGGACTGGCCACACAGGAAAAACAACACAATACTTGGGGGGTCATAAGTTGGCTTTGGGGGGTACCCCTTTCGGGGTTGCCCAGGGAGACCAAAAGCAAGCCACCCACTTGAGGGGTTCAACCCGATTTTGACCCATTTGGTCACTGGAAAGCAGAACCCAAAGGACCCAACACCAGCTTTCCGGCCTGTCGGTCATTCTTTAGTGGCTCAGAGCTACACGAATGTGGACATGTTCCCCGGTCCGGGATTTTTCCACAATGGGGGAGGGGAGATAGTAGAGTCTGAGAATCAACGGACAAACTCGGTATCAAAAAGTAACTATCCAAGAGTGCAACTTGTCGATCTCTATATTGTTTGCTTCGTCTTCCATTCTCTCAGACCACGTTGTGTTGGCGCAAGCCAAACGACCAACCAACCGAGGCCACAACCAAAAGTCTACTGCTCTATAAGAGGAGGCAAACACATTGCACACACAGGCTTTCCTATAATTATAACTGAATACAGTTTCACGCGCTCCTTAACCCCACTTCTGATGATCTAGCCATAATTAGACACTCATAGTACCGTTTTGAGCAGCTTTAGCATGCCTTGGAAAAGAGAAACCGAAAATAAAGAAAAACAAAAACCTGCCGACTCACCGAGGCCGGTGCTGGGCTCCACAGAATACCAGGCCCAAAAGAAGAGGATGCACAGAGCGGCCCACAGACCTCGGTCGTGTGTGCCTCTTTTTTTTGCGTTGCCTTTTTTGTCCGGCGAGAAAAGCACTACAAAGGCCCAACCTAGGTTTGGGGTTTCGTTTTGGGTGGTTGCGGGGTTCCAGCGGGCTTGTTGGCCTAGGTGTCCTTGAGAAGTAGATGATAGCAAATTAACGCCAAGCTGCAGCACTCCTATGCCCATGCGTCTGGGGTCTGCCTGAAACTGGGTTGCACGCGGATGGCAACGTGAGCAGCACATCTTCTCAAGAGGCAACTTGTGGTGAATCTTGGCTCGAGCGGTTTGCCCGGGCTTCTTTTTTTTTTTGGGGGGGGGGGGTCCAAAGGAAGTCACCAGGCACACAGAACTTGGTTTTTGGCGTCCACCATTTTGAGGCAAAGCCATACTGAACCCGTTTTGAGGGGTCCCAATGGTTCAGAGCACTTCAAAGTCATCGCAATGTAAAGGATATGTATAATGCTAGTAGGAAGGGGGCCGGGCACAGCTGTGTGCAAAGTTGTTCACCCCCCACGGTGTTTAGCTCAGACCCGCAAGGCCAGACTTCACGTCGGTTTTGGGTGTTTCTTCAATGTGGGGACCCCCCACATCATGAATAATTCCAAAGGCTAGCGGTAAACGCGTCGGGATGGGAGCAGCTCAGGCCTAGTGACCTTACATGGACCCATCACAGTGGCCATCAGTCCCTGTGTACATGTCCGCAAAGGTCCTCCATCGCAACTTCATCCCAATACCGTGGATGGACACAATTTCCGAGCCAGTTGAGTGGAAAAAAATGAAAAAATGGAAAAACATGGAAACAATCACCGCAAAAAAATAGCTCACCGCCAGTTGGGGGGTTGATCCATGAGCTTTCATAAGGCTTCACCCATCCCAGTTGAGTCATAATCAAAGCCTGGTACAAAAATGGTCGACCCAGAACCATGTAAAGAATTAAGAAGCCGGACATCCGCAGCTATTTATGGCTGGGATTCTCCCTTACTACCCTCCAATTACCCGGGTTTTGATTGTGGCTCAGTTGGTTTCTTAGCGAACTTTGGCCATCGGAAGCGCCCTGCCCAGCCGTCAAGCTGCGCGGGCTGGCCAGCACCGGCAAACCCAAGCCTCAGCTCGTATTCGAACGCGAACGCTGCTTGATCTGGGTATGGGTCAAAATTAAACCACCAGGAATCGGACCGCAGGTTTTCGTCCATGTTTCCATTTAGAGTTCCATTTTGGGTACCCAGTTTTGACCCACAGCCATCTCAGAAAAAACAACCAGCGGGCCAAACAAGTCAAACATGACGCCCACACCTTGAAGCAAAAAATATATGCCGCTTCTCCTACAGAGCAACCGAGCAACCATTTCTTCGGTGCCGCTTCCACTCGCCGAATCTAGGGCAAATGGCTGAAATCCTTTGTCCCCTGCCACCCAAGCCTCCGATGGGATTTTCTGGGCGCCCCGGCGAGACAGCAACTCCAAGAGCAGATAGAGACACACCTCACGAGTCAGCGATAGTGGATGTGGGGCAACGATGGATCATGATGGACCTCTTTCTGCTTAGTCAACTTCAGTTCGAAACGAAGTAGGGCAAAAAGTGAAGCCACAGCCCTGCAGCCGAAGCAATGTGAATCAGGCTATCAGTTGCCACAGCTCAGCACTATACCTGGCACCCCCTTCAACTTGGTCGTGTGACCACAACATATTGTCTCCGTTTTGCACCCAGGCTCTGCAACACTCAACAACCTGCAGCAATTTCCGCCCTCTCAACATGGGACATGTCAAGCGTGTTACCCACCAGAAAAGATCTGGTGCGGGACATTTTGGGGGGAACTGCAGCGGCAAGAGATACTTTGAGAAGGGTAGTTTGGAGTTCAAAAATTGGGAGCGTGAAGGTGGAGGCAAATATCGGCAGAACTGTGACCTGCATGTGCGTGCGCGCAGTGTGTGCGAGCTGCAGAGGTGCGGGGCGTTTGCAAGAATCACAGAACTACCCTCATCTATCGGGTGGAAAGTAGGTGGCATTGGCCAGCAAACATCCAAGCACAGGAAAGCATGCAAACGATCGGCCACCGGCTTGGTAGAGGGGCGCAGGCGAGCGTTTCGTTGCCATGTTGAAGTCGAAGCGACGGATAGGCTGTAACATCTGGTTAGGAACAATCAAACAGGAGCCTCGTACAAGGCACTCTGAACCTAGGATAAACATACGTTCTACCGTCTTCATGTGAGTCATAATCAAAGCCTGGTACAAAAATGGTCGACCCAGAACCATGTAAAGAATTAAGAAGGCGGCCGCAGCTATTTGTGGTTGGGATTGTCCCTTTACTTGGATAAACCATCTGCTATTGGTGGTGTGCCATCCACAATACCCAATGGGTGTGAATGTTGATTGGATACCCTTTGGTAAACATCATTTAGGTGCGATTCATGTCCACCAACCGCGTTTGAGGTGGGTCCCTATCAAATTCAGAGGCAAAGGTTGACAAGAAAAATAAGACCTCTTTGAAGCTCTCGCTTAGGGCCCCGCCGGCGCCAGCCAGGAGCTGGAGCGGCTTGCAGCGGGATGGTTCTCATGGCTCCTCTCCACAGCCTGCTCCGCCTGCGCGTCTTGCCCCGAAACTCAGGGGAGATACCCTCCCACCAATTAACATGGAACCTCACAGGGGGGTGGGACCATTATCCAGGGACCCTATCAGGTTCCATGTTAATTGGCGGGAGGGTTCGATAAATTGGGATCGTTCCTGCGCGTACAATGAGGCTATTTCTTCGACTCATCTAAGGACCCTTGCCAAGAGGCCACAGACCTCTTGCCCATTGAACAAACACAACATTGCACCGTAGGCTCATGCAACCAAAGGCTGTCGGAACATATCAGTCAAGATTCTAAGCAAACTTCCCTCATGCGCAACTATTGAAAGGTAGCTTGCGCAAAGGATGAGATAACAGACAGAAGATCAGATGGCCCATGCGAAAAGCTAGCGAATGCAGATAGCCTGCGCGCAAATGAGATGAAGGAGCCATGAACGTATGCGAGAAAACACGCGCGGGTGTGTCGTGGGGGAGTACAAAACGCGGAAAAGAGTGACCTTCTGCAGGTTTTGGCGGGTCTGCGTTGATGTCAACCACCTCGGTCTCGACGCCTGTCTGGCACGGTCCCGGCACAGCTTCGGCGCGAGCGCGGCGCATGGCCCATTGGTATGACAACGCGAATGTTTCGCGAGGATTGAATTTCGTGGCAGCCGCAGCACTTTCGCAAGGGTCAGGTACAGATTCTTTGGCAAGGTCAGGTGCAGACCTCGTGGCAGGCACAGCACTTTCGCAAGGTCAAGTACAAATCTCTTGGCAGGCGCAGCACTTTCGCAAGACCAGGCGCAGATGTCGTGACAGGCGCAGCGCTTTCGTAAGGCAGAGAAAGAAAGAGAAAGAGAGAAAGAGAAAGAAAAAGAGAGACAGAGAGAGAGCAAGAGAGAAAAATAAAGAGAACAAGAGAAAGAACAAATCGAAAGAGAGAAACAAAAAGAGACAAAGAGACGAACAAACAACAAAAGAGAGAAAAATATGGAAAAAAGCAGAGAGAGAAAGAGGAAAGAGAAAGAGAGAGAGAGAGAGAGAGAAGAGAGAAAAGAGAGAGCAGACAGACAAGAGGGAGAGAAAGAGAAAGAGAGACAGAGAGGGAGAGAAAAAAGAGAGAAGAACGAGAGAGAGAAACAAAAAACATGATGGACGAAAAGAGAGACAAAGAGAGAGAGAGAGAGAGAGAGAGAGAGAGAGAGAGAGCGCAAATGGGAAACAGAGAGAAAAAGAGGGAGGAAGAGAGAGAGAGAGAGAGCGCAAAGAGAGAGAGAGAGAGCGAGAAAGAGAGGGAGAGAAAGAAACAAAGAAGACAAATAGAGAGAGAGAGAGAGAAGGAGAAGAGAAAGAGGGCAATAGTAGCAGCAGTAGCAGTAGTAGTAATTTAGCAGTAGCAACAAAGACTTCCTTTGACTGAAGTTTGATCAGTTCTGCTCCCGCCAAAGCCAAATGCTTCGGGAGGAGGGGCGCTCCCCAATTTTAAGCACGCGCAATGGTATTTGTGGGCAAACCAGCATGGGTGTTTTTTCAACGAAAGGGAACCCAGAAACGGCCAGTTTGCCTGGGTTGCTTTGTCCATCAACAACCAAGCACAGTGAGGTACGGTTGAGGGTGTTTTTTCCCCAACAGCTGAAAGCTTTGGGGTCTCAGCCCAGATAGGCTCCCGGGTGGTCCGGGGCGGCCCTGAGATAAGGTTCCAGGGTTGGTGGCCGCATCGCCAGCATGCCCAGCATTTCCGGTTTCTTGTCACTTCTGCGTATGGGGCATGACTTGATGCTCGGGATAGTGCATCGCCAGCATTACTGGCCTCACTCGGACGCGAGCTGCCTATTGGCTTTGGTTTGGTGGCAGTTCAGGGTTGATCGGGGCTGGTTTGGGGTGAGTGTTGGGCTTGCTGAGATATTAGTGCGAGCGGGTCTTGGGTTTGTTTAGGGTTCATTTAGCCTCGGCAAAGGGCCGATATGCAGGATGCGGTTGGGAGGGTTTCAGGTTGACTTTGGGTCGGTTTTGGCTTGGTTGGGGCTGATTCGTGCTAGATGTGCGGCTGGTTTAGCCGTGGCTTTCGGGTTGCTTCAGGGATGTGGTTCTGCAAGTTTTGGGCTAGGATTGGTGGTTTGGGCCATTTGCCTCATCTCGTGGAAAACTGGTCCCCGATCTGTACCCCCTCGAAATGGTAGCTTTCCCTTTGAGACGCAAGGATTAATTTGAACCCAAAGGTCTGGCATAAGGACGCAAGGATTAATTTGAACCCAAAGGTCTGGCATAAGGACGCAAGGATCAATTTGAACCCAAAGGTCTGGCATAAGGACGCAAGGATCAATTTGAAGCCAAAGGTCTGGCATAAGGACGCAAGGATTAATTTGAACCCAAAGGTCTGGCATAAGGACGCAAGGATCAATTTGAACCCAAAGGTCTGGCATAAGGACGCAAGGATCAATTTGAACCCAAAGGTCTGGCATAAGGACGCAAGGATCAATTTGAACCCAAAGGTCTGGCATAAGGACGCAAGGATTAATTTGAACCCAAAGGTCTGGCATAAGGACGCAAGGATCAATTTGAACCCAAAGGTCTGGCATAAAGGATCAATTTGAACCCAAAGGTCTGGCATAAGGACGCAAGGATCAATTTGAACCCAAAGGTCTGGCATAAGGACGCAAGGATTAATTTGAACCCAAAGGTCTGGCATAAGGACGCAAGGATCAATTTGAACCCAAAGGTCTGGCATAAGGACGCAAGGATCAATTTGAACCCAAAGGTCTGGCATAAGGACGCAAGGATTAATTTGAACCCAAAGGTCTGGCATAAGGACGCAAGGATCAATTTGAACCCAAAGGTCTGGCATAAGGACGCAAGGATTAATTTGAACCCAAAGGTCTGGCATAAGGACGCAAGGATCAATTTGAACCCAAAGGTCTGGCATAAGGACGCAAGGATCAATTTGAACCCAAAGGTCTGGCATAAGGACGCAAGGATCAATTTGAACCCAAAGGTCTGGCATACGGACGCAAGGATCAATTTGAACCCAAAGGTCTGGCATAAGGACGCAAGGATTAATTTGAACCCAAAGGTCTGGCATAAGGACGCAAGGATCAATTTGAACCCAAAGGTCTGGCATAAGGACGCAAGGATCAATTTGAACCAAAGGTCTGGCATGAGGACGCCATGGATCAATTTGAAACCCAAAGGTCTGGCATAAGGAGCATAGTATTAATTTGAACCCAAAGGTCTGGCATAAGGACCGCAAGGATTACTTTGAACCCAAGGTCTGGCATAAGGACGCAAGGATTAATTTGAACCCAAAGGTCTGGCATAAGGACGCAAGGATTAATTTGAACCCAAAGGTCTGGCATAAGGACGCAAGGATCAATTTGAACCCAAAGGTCTGGCATAAGGACGCAAGGATCAATTTGAACCCAAAGGTCTGGCATAAGGACGCAAGGATCAATTTGAACCCAAAGGTCTGGCATAAGGACGCAAGGATCAATTTGAACCCAAAGGTCTGGCATAAGGACGCAAGGATCAATTTGAACCCAAAGGTCTGGCATAAGGACGCAAGGATTAATTTGAACCCAAAGGTCTGGCATAAGGACGCAAGGATAAATTTGAACCCAAAACCGCCAACCCTCCACCTCTTTTGGCCCCTCCTGCAGGGACGAAGCCGTGCGCTCCCGCTTGGGCGTGTCGGCCCCGCAGATGGCGCAGGCGCATCGGCCCAGAGACGAGCCCATGGCTCGCTCGCCGGTCAGGCAGGGGTCCACGCGCGGACTCGAAAGCCGAACCGAGGGGGAAAAGCCGAGGTGTCAGGCAAACGTTGGTGCAGCTTTCAGAGAGCGACTTGCTTGAGCCCTCGGCACTTCTATTTTTGTCATTGGAAATAAGTGCCTGAGCTTGCAGAATGCAGTGCTGATCGAAGCCTCTATATAGAAACGTTGGTCCACTTGCCTTGTGACATCAGCCGGACCACAAACCAAAGAACTGTGGCAAAATACACTGGCCTGCGCTTGCTATGAGGATTCTACCAAGAGGGTATGTTGCTTTTCTCAACCGACTAAAGACCTTGATTACTAAGAGTGGGTTTGTTGGGTACTTGAAAACCGAACTGAATCATAATGTTAAAACGAGTATAATGTGTAACTATTCGGCCCGTTCCATTCTACGTCTTCGGTACCATCCCGTCGCTTGCCTCGGCGCATCTTTCGCGACGTTTCGCTCCGGCTTTGGGAGCCACTCCAAAAAAAGCTGCGAGTGAAGTGCAAGCCAGGACGAATCACGTGAAGTATCTCGTTGGATGTGAATCACGTGAAGTATCTCTATGGATGTGTCTGTGGGGGGAAGGCGGGGGGAATGCTTGTTTTGAAGGAAAACCAAAAGGAGCCAACATTGTTGGGGTTCAATTTAGAGACAAAGTGTGAAAACAAAGGACTCGAAAATGGTTTCCCGGTGATGTCCCGTTGAACCAACAATTGAAATGGTATCGTCACAAAAGCAAAATTATATCAGTTTCACAGAGGGCAAAGTAAGCATGAACCAAGTGAACTAGAAATATGTAAATCGGCAAGCCAGGTGCTGACCAGAAATCAAACACCATCGATTGCCGGAAGAGGGTCAACGGATTGGCACCAGGCGGGTCGATATTTTGGGCAACGTAAGATGGAAGACATGCGTTCCCAGCGATCCTACATAGGGGTGTTTCTCAAAACAGCCGTCCCCTGCAGTGGTTGGCTTGCCAACCAAAACACCCAACCAAAAGGGGGGTACAAAACTTTAAATTCTTAGGAACATTGCAGTTCTCATATAAGGGGTCTCGGCCCAAAGCAAAGAGATTTGAAGAACGCAAAACGGCCAGCTAGGTGCTTGTTCGCCATAGAAACGCTGGTTAGACCCCAACCACTGACACACACACACACATGAAAGAATGCCTACAATCAAATGGCTGGCATGTACCGCGGATTTTGCTTGCCGGAAGTTGGCATTCCAGGACATTCCAGGCTGCATGCTGAGTGTACTCTCCACTTGGCGAATGGCCAAACAAGCATCACTCAACATTTACGCAGGAAAAATGACACGGAATCGGGCATTCCGCGAGGGTTGTTTTTGCTTCCCCACGGAAGGAATTTCCAGTGGTTTGCCTGCCTGGCAAAGAAGCTGATGTGGAGCTGCCTGCAAATTGCATCACAGCCAGTGGAATGTGCGATCTCTGAGGTTCTGTCAAAATTCTCAACAATATGTGTTTTGAAGTTTTGTGCCCAAGCAGATTTGAAATCGTAGTGCTCCAAATGTTCTCTCTTTTCCGGGGGGGCAAGAATGGTGATGTGCAATCCCATCACAAATTGACCAGCAAAGGTCACATGTGATTGAGCCATACTTTGAAGGGGAAGCATATTTCCTTGAAGGTTCAGGCAGTATGCCAGACATGTGACATGTGACGTGTGAATCTAAGGTCAGAGTTCCATGCTTTCCTCATTGTTCTGGGAACCTGAACGCAAACGACTCTTATGGTTTGCGATATGGCCGGGGTTAGGGACCCCAAAAATACGCATGAGTGGGGCGGGCGTGAGTGGGGCCAGAGCGTGCGGCTTCTTGGGGGTTGGAGCTAAGTCAAACTGATCCAATCCTACTTGCTCACAGGTCTAGTTCAGGACTGTCTAACACCTATCAGCATGAAAGAGGCTGCAACAATCTGACAAATACATCGAATCTGACAGACTATCAGTCATAGCTCACCAGTGATCACAACAAGACCACATCTACGCAGAGATTATACCGAACACAGCTCAGTGTGGCCAGCTGTCGGGGAGCTGTGGCGCTGCAAGAACAAAGGCTGGCACAAAAAACAAGACGTCTTTTACGCGCACGGACAGCTTCTCCACCACAAACACAGTTTCAAGCCTGTCATAGCTCATCTTGCTGGCTGCATGCCAAAACATGTGCAAATGAGCTGAGTGGTGCTTTCACCCTTTTCTAGGACACAAACAAATCATTCAACCTTCCGCCTTCGGCCTGCAGGGGTAGCTTCTGGATTTTCTTTCTGCTCCAAAACGCCTCCACGGACACAAGCTCCCGGCATCTTAGCATCATGCCTCCGTTCTACACTGGTTTTCGAGCCTTCAGTTTTTAGGCCATTGGCATTTTTTGTCTTGCTGCTGCTGCTGCTGCTGCCGCCGCCGCCGCCGCTGCTGCTGCTGCTGCTACCTTCCTTGCAGGTCGAGGAGCCGCCTTGTTTGCAGAAGAGAGACAGCTGGAATAGGAGCGTGCACGCGGAACGCTTCCGCAGAGCCCTGCGCGGAGATCTGCGTCGTGTTGTTGTTCCCTCCGGCGCCTTTGTTGGCATGTGGCCATGGGCCAAAAGCCCGGTTACCCCCCACTGAACATCCCAATCCCAACTAAAATACACTAAAATGGCCTACCCCGAATTGGTACCATTGGTTTTGACCCACGGCCATGTCTTAGTCTATTCAACAAACGCTGCTTGATCGTTGGCACCATTGTCGTTCGCCTGTCGAAACACCTGCCCGGTCAGCACAAACGACCATTTGCTGCAAGCCCTCCGGCTAAGCTTCCGCAAACCCTTTTGCGACGGTGGAGCGGCGCACATTTCCAAAGAATAATTCCCGTACCTTTGATTGAGGAGCAAACAAGAAGGAACCTCGAGTCTAGGTTGACCATGTTGACCCTCGATCTTGACCCTTCAAGGTCCATCCATGTGACTCCGCAAGCATTCTCCACCAGCTCTGGCGCCTGAGTCTTAAATTGGCAACGCCTTGGCCTTCCCGAAATCAGCCAAGCCCATCTCACTTTGCCCGGCCTCGGTCCTCCGGCATACCGGGCACCCTGAGCGCGGGCTGTTGGGCCAAGCCCAGCTCGGAGAGCAGCAGTCCGGTGCTTGCTCAATTCATCCAGGGAGGGGAAAGAAGGGGCCCACTGTCCGGCATCGGTTGTTGCCCCCCTTTTCTGGAGGAAAAGTCAGTGACCACAAAGGCTTCCCCCAATGACTTGCTTCGATGCCCTCTTTAGGTTGACCTGATTCACTTTGGCTGCGCATGCCCTTGATCGACAACACTCTTGCAGTTTGCATCACGGCTCAGCTTATTAGGCCAAATTGCATTTGCCAGATCCCCCCCAGGCGATGCCGCTCAAACTCCAGAGAGATCGTTTACGCTGCTCACCCAGTCGTTGCTCACCGCAAGGCTCCAACTGGTTTTGCTGTCGACATGTGCTTATGGGGCCCCTTGAAGCTCTGGGCTAATTTTCTGGTTGTGAAGAGAAAACGGACAACACGTCACAAGAACAAGGAGAACAACGACAAAAAACAATGATGTCAGACTGCTTACCGCTCAAAAGGGCAAAGATGCTCTGCAAGCCCCAAAACAAATTCTCGGTTCCGCTGCCTCAATGGCTGCTCGGCAAGCAATTCACCTGGGCAGTGCATGGGGATGGTGGGGTAACTACTTTCAAACCAAGTCAAGTCATAGTCATGTCTGTGAGTCTGTCGTGTCACCCTCGCATGATGCACCAAGCACGATTTGCACATTGACATGGAAACACCGGATACGAAATGCACACCTCCACACTGCCCCCAAATGACTTTCTTCCGATTCAAGCACACTTTTCGTCTCCGTATCTCTGTGGGGTGGGTAATTCTCGGGTTGTGCTGCCCGCATGCCGTGAACAGCAAGCAACCTAAACCAGCCCATAGTTCATTCGTCGGGCTGTTTCAAACCTGAAGACCAACCACGGAACAAAATAAGGAGTGGTACATTCGTCTTCATGCTTCCCAGTTCCGCATCAGAATTTCACAAATCAAATGTCCAGTACCATTGAGCCTGCTTCACGCTGCTCCATCCTTTGCCGATGTCTTCCCTCAGAAGCGGCTTGCTCCATTTGTTTCGACGAGTGTTGTTGCCTGGCATGCTTTACTACGGTCAACTGAAAACAATCGTACAGTCAGGAAACACAATTCGCACAGTCAGGAAGTTCTGAATGGTCTCCCCCTGCACCGCACGAACGTACAGTAGCTCTTCCTCACTCAAGTGAACCCGGACAAAACTACTTGTGTCTTCGGACACAACGCAATTTGGGTGGCAATAAACTGGCAGTACGAGTAATTCCGTCATTTGGGAGTTTCTCAGGACTTTGGTATTTGAAGGGAAACTTGAACCGAAAAGTAAGCGAACCATTTCAGGAGATTTTGAGCGCCACCGGTTCTCCGCCCGTCGCGGCCTTGCTCCTTTGAGCGCCACCGTCGCGAGCGCACAGACTGGCTTGGATCGGGGCGCGAAGATGTCGGATGTGCAGGGGCCTTGATAGATTAGAATGGGTTCAAACCATATATCATGATTACAGGGGAATCCTGCCAGTTTAGCTCTTCTAGGTCCTCCAGTAGAGAGGGTAGAAAAAGGGTACCCTTTTTTTCTGTACTCTATCGTAGTAGGGGAACCCTCCCCCAAAGAAAGGGTACAAGGACACTACTGGGGGACCTAGTCTTGCAGAAGAGCCAGCGAGACTTAGCAATCACGCGTTGATACATCTCCGTACCGTACCCTTCAGAGCCCCTAAAACAGGCCCAGGCTGCAATCTGAGCGGATAGTCATAACCAGGCCCGCAACTATTTATGGCCGGGATCGTCCCATACTAACCTTCGTCTATCCGGGTTTTGATTGTGGCTGGTATAGTATTGTGGTGTCTGCAATACTCAGCTTGTGCCAAAACACGACCGAATGTGGAATAGTTTTCGCCAACTCGTTCTTCTTAAAGGCAATCAACAAAGCTGTGACTACAGATCACAAGTGCCCGTTTC